ACGTGAAAGAGAGAGATAGAGGTTTGGACTAGAAACAGGGAGCCGCGGCGAGAGGGTCTGAGCCTGCAATGTTCGTTATGTTCAAGTGGCTTGTTAAAATGTCTACCACCTCTTCACCTCACGTGATTTGTACCATCAAATTTCCATCAAATGGCCCAGACCCGATCGCGCGATCACTCCTAAGGTGTTGCTAATGCTATACAAGTTGCCCTCGGAATTGAAGAGAAATGAAAGGACTGTGATTTAGGGATTCTGGTAGAGCGAAGCACACTGTAATTCCTAAAAGTTGTTAGACATTGACCCTAAAATTGTTTTAGGGTCTCCCATTTTAGGGATTTTTAGGGAGATGCTCTTAGGGCCATATTTTTTTCCTGCAGACTTTGCATGCACCTTCTATCACTTTAAATATACTGTTTTGGAATATCATCTAATGTGTCACGGCTGCAAATTCATGTGCTTTGGTTTCCTAGATGCCATGCCATCCAAATCTTACTTTCCGTTTTCATGTTCATAGAATCATGAATTCTAAAACAGCGCACTAGATATTTTCATGTATTACATGCATATTCTCTCTTCTTCCTTCTTCAAGTACGTGGAGAGCATCTAATTTTTTTTGGCTTCCATAGAAGAATCTAAGAAATAATAATATGTACTAACTCAGCAACAATTAAGAGGGTGTTTGTTTCCAGGGACTTATTGGCTTAGGGACTTAAAAAAATCTCTATAAGTCCCATCTAAACCAAACAGAAGGACTTATAGGGACTTAAAGTGGGCATTTGGGACTTATGAAATAAGACTCTCAAGGAGGGATTTATAGGGACTTATATTTGTAATATGGTCTTATAGGGACTTATAAGTACCAAGAACCAAACAGGTAGGGACTTTATAAGGACTTGGGACTTATAAGTTGGGACTAAAAAAAGTCCTAAGACTTATGAACCAAACAGGGCCTAATATGAATTTGTGGAAGTATCTAGGGATGTAAATGGCAAATAAATGACACCCGAAAGTCCCGTTTAGTTAGTTTGATAGTTCATTTTCCTAAAAAGAATATATGTGAATATATTGAACTGTTAGATAATAAGTGGATTTAAGCGGGATTTAAACTGTACCCGGTTTACATAGAATCTCAATTTCATGCATCTTGTCTTTATTTGTGTGCTTTAGGACAAGGATGCTTATCAACAATCTCCGTAATTTTACAGCCTAAATTTCACGGGATTTCGGCATGAATGTCAGGCAAACCAGTTCGTTTTGCTATGGAAAGTGAAGAAGAATCCGTGTCCGAAAATGGGACCAGAGGGAATTTGTTGGATCGTTCGTACGTGTGGCGGTGCTCAAGTGGAAAATTAGATAGCATCACAAGCTCCGAACAGTCCACATTGATGGCGCCATTAATTCACTCACATGTCCACACCTAACGCCTCGCCACACCTGGCCATGGCAGCTCGGCTTTACACAACCTTTGGCTCATCCGAGCCTGCCGTGTGGGTCCCATGCGCCGCCACGTAGGCGCCCAAGACTCGCCTCTCCCGTGATCCCAGGCTGTCTATAAAGCCGGGAGGAGGCTACGTGCGAAGCTCAGGACACCCAGTCACCGTTGGATGAGCTGAGCTTTGGGTGGTCGGATGGCGTCGCCGCTGCGTAACGGGGCTCAGGCGGGGGGTCGGAGGAAGGAGTCGAGGCGGCTGGGGGCGCTCCTGCTGGTGCTGCGTGTGGCGGCGCTGTGCTTTAGCCTCGCGGCGGCGGTGCTCGCGGCGACGGACGGCGCCGTGCTGCGGCTGGCGCCGTTCAGGTTCCTGCTGGCGGCGAACGCGATCGTGGCGGTATACTCGGTGTTCGAGGTCGCCGCGGCGGCGTGGGAGGTGGCCAAGGGCGCCACGCTGCTCCCGGAGGCCTTGCAGCTCTGGTTCGACTTCGGCCACGACCAGGTAACTAATTAACCAGCGCCTACTTGCTGTAATTACACGCAAGTTGCATCTGGTCGATCGACCACACACAAGGAGTTAGTTACCTAATTCCGGAGTTGTTAATTTGATCGTGTGTGCGTGCGCTGCAGGGTTTCGGGTACATGGCGCTGGCCGCGGCGGCGGCGGCGGCGCGGGAAGCGGCGTTGTGCGGCGGAGGCCAGGAGCGGAATATCAGCAGCACGGCGTGCCTGCAGGGCGACATCGCCGTGGGGCTCGGGTTCGCGGCGTTCGCGTTCCTGGCGCTGGCGGCGCTCGCGACGGGGTTCCGGCTCGTCCGCTTCCTCGCCACCGGTTCCCGGCTCCCGGCGGGGACCTCCTCCTCCTCCCCGTATTGACCGGCGCGCGTGGGGCCATGGGGCATACGTCCGTACGTAGTAGCTACTCGTGCGATGAACTGATCGGGGTGCGGCTAGCCAGAGCACTTCGATTTTTCGGTGGTTTTGATCGATCGGTGGGGTGATTATTACAGTATGCACTACGCTGATTAGCTCGACACTATTAGATGGATGTGTGTGTGATGTGTACGCAAGATTCTGCGGGATATACCAGTGAAACATAGGCGGTGCATGACGAGTTTGTTTTTTCATTTTGGGTTTGCTATATCTGACCGGTGGGACTCACCCTTGTTCTTTTTTTTTCTGGGGATTTTTGCCGAGAATTCGGGGAGCTTCATTACTTTAATAACATTCGATTACAACTACCCCTGAAGCTGTAATGAGAAAGGATGAACGTTTGTGTGGCCAGTAGTCTGAAACCAAGGAACATGCCTGCTTAGCATAAAGTTCCCCCACACTGCTACCATCCTTGGGACATGTCTAACAGAAAAACTAAAACTTGCCTATTTTCCCTCTATTTCATCTAAGATAGACGCTACAATTGATCAAGAATTATAACACGAAGACCAGAGGTTAACAGCCTCTAAGCAATCCACTTCCATCACCACGTGTGAGAAAGCCTCATAGTTAGTGCAAAAATGATGCCTTCTTGGAGTGCCATGGCTTTGGCAATAACTGGACCAGTGACCCCATTGAAGGGTTTACTCCAAGCTTCTATGAAGGACAGATGGGACCGAGTTGCACCACCTCCTCGTCCTCCACACCGAGCTTCAATGTTGATTGCGCCGATGATGCTGATTTTCTATCTAACATCTGGAGATCGCCAACAATAGCCACCAGGGATGCCGCATTGGGACTTTGTGAAAGCACAAATGCTCCCTGGGTGATTTTGGTAATCAATGACAACATATCTTTTGTTGGACTAATACTTTTATCAAGTATACTTTAGATGAGTTCAACAATGGAGTGGTAAGGACAAGAGGATGTGGAACCCCTTCAAAATGCTAAGTGCAAAGATTGGCAAAGGCTCAAGACTCTTCATTTTTATTTTAGTGATCCAAGATCACATTGAGTCCATAGGAAAGCCACTATTATTAAAAGGGGATGAGGTGTTGCTTAATGGTCTACTTGCTCAAAGTGCTTAGTGATATAACTCCAAAACCCTCAACCACTTTCCCATTTCCACTTATGTCCAAAATCTAAAGTCAAACTCGGTCCCACTGATTTGATCTATCTTGCGCCACCGAGTTCATTTGACATAGTCACTGCCAGAAACCCTAATCAATTCGGTCACACCGATACGGATCTCGGTCTCACCGAGATGGCCTTGCAAACTCTCTGTTGCCTATTGCAATTATTTCGGTCTCACCGAAATGTGCAATCAGTCCCACCGAGTTTGCTTGACCAACTCTCTGTTTGATCAATTTCTGAAATCGGTCTCACCGAGTTCATCGATCTGTCTCACCGAGATGAGGTTTTGCCCTAGCCCTAGCACATCGGTCCCACCGAGTTGATCCCGTCGGTCCCAGCGAGATTCCTAACATTCACATTTTGAACTAAATCGGTCTCACCGAGTTCTTCTATTCGGTCTGACCGAGTTGGGTCAAATGTGTGTAACGGTTAGATTTTATGTGGAGGCTATATATACCCCTCCACCACCTTCTCCATTTGAGAGCCATCAAAATGTGCCTATACTTCCACTACTCATTTTCTAAGAGAGAACCACCTACTCATGTGTTGAGACCAAGACATTCCAATCCAACCACAAGAATCTTGATCTCTAGCCTTCCCCAAGTTGCTTTCCACTCAAATCATCTTTCCATCATAGCCAAATCTGTGAGAGAGAGTTGAGTGTTGGGGAGACTATCATTTGAAGCACAAGAGCAAGAAGTTCATCATCAACACACCATCTATTACCCTTTGGAGAGTGGTGTCTCCTAGATTGGTTAGGGTGTCACTTGGGAGCCTCCGTCAAGATTGTGGAGTTGAACCAAGGAGTTTGTAAGGGCAAGGAGATCGCCTACTTCGTGAAGATCTACCCAAGTGAGGCAAGTCCTTCGTGGGCGATGGCCATGGTGGGATAGACAAGGTTGCTTCTTCGTGGATCCTTCGTGGGTGGAGCCCTCCGTGGAGTCGCGCAACCGTTACCCTTCGTGGGTTGAAGTCTCCATCAACGTGGATGTACGATAGCACCACCTATCGGAACCATGCCAAAAATCTCCGTGTCTTCATTGCGTTTGCACACTCCAATCTCATCCCTTTATTTTCTTGCAACTAGCATGATTTACTCTTCCCGCTGCCTATACTCTTGCCATGCTTGCTTGAAGTGTGTTAGGAATGCTTAAAATTGTGATAGTCTACAACCTCAACTTGAAGAACATAAAAACTACTACTTTTGCTTGTTGAGGGTCTAATCACCCCCCTCTAAACACCTCTTCTCGGTTCTTTCAATTGCTATTAGAGCATTGGTCTCCATTTCTTTGGTTTAATCACCGTTGGAGGAAGATGGATGAGTCTACGATTGGGAGTATTAGACATAGAGTGCATATGCTTGACGGAGAGTTCTTTATTGCTTGGAAAATGAGATGCTTGAGATTTTCAATGAATATGATTTGAACAAGTACATTACTAGCCCTTGTGTGCCTCCTATTAATCCCTTGCATCCTACCCTTAATGGGTATCTTGACATGACCCGCAATCTTAGAGCTACCAATCTCTTATCATAAGAGGATTGCCTAGAAATTTGCTTGTTTGCTTGCCTACTTTTGACTGTGCTTATACTATATGGAGATATCTTGAGGAACGCTTTCCAAACTACTCTTTGAAAAATCTAGATGAGATTCTTTGAAAGTCCATAGCTTTTCATAAGATGAAACCTAGTGATCCTAATTTTGATGATTGCCTATTTGAGCTTCGTGATCTCATGCGTGCCAAAGGAGATGTTGGAGTCATTAGTAGCATCATCTCTGAAGTCATTAGAATTCATAAAGATGCACATTGTCATGAACATAAATCTAATGAATCACCTTCTCTAGGTGATGATCAATCACAAGACGATGTTGAACATGGATATTATGATAAAGATGATGATAGTGACTTTAATCTCGATGAGTCTATGAGACACTTTGGTCTTATGGCTAACCTTCGTGGTTACATGGTCGTAGGAAAGGAATGGGTTCTTGATAGTGGATGTACTGATCACATGACCGGTGACAAGGATATGTTTCAAGAGCTTGCTGAAAACTATGGTCCCCTAAAGTTATCACTTTTGGTGATAACTCAAAGGGTAAGGTGGTTGGCCTTGGTAAGGTGGCCATCTCACATGACAGCTCCATTCAAAATGTTATGCTTGTTGAATCTCTTGGCTACAATTTGCTTTCTGTATCTAGACTAGCTGATTTCGATTTCAATGTCCTATTTACTGAAGTAGATTGCCAAGTGTTTCAAAGAGATAATCATAATATGGTCTTTACCGGTATACGTAGAGGTGATCTATACATTGTTGACTTCACTAAAAAGGCTCAACCTAGAACTTTCTTAATTCCTAAATCTTCTAAAGGTTGGTTGTGGCATAGAAGGTTAGGTAACGTGGGCATGCGAAATCTTGATAAGCTTATTAAAGGTGATCATATGCTTGGTGTTAAAGATGTTATATTTGACAAGGATAGACTTTGCAGTGCTTGTCAAGCAGGAAAACAAGTTGGAGGAAGTCATCCCGTGAAGAACATCATGACCACGAGAAGACCACTCGAGCTGCTTCAAATGGATCTCTTTGGTCCCAACGCTTACAAGAGTCTCGGTGGGAACTCATTCGTTTTGGTCAGTGTTGATGATTTTTCCAGATTTACATGGGTGTTCTTTCTTGATGATAAATCGTTGGTCCAAAAGATCTTCAAAATCTTTGCTAGGAAGGCCCAAAATCAATTTGAAGTGAAGATCAAGAAGGTTCGAAGTGACAACGGAATGGAGTTCCAGACGCCAATGTGGATACCTTTCTTGACGAAGAAGGGATCTCACATGAGTTCTCGGCTACGTGCACGCCTCAACAAAATGGAGTTGTTGAGAGGAAGAACCAGACGCTCATTGAGATGGCAAGAATGATGCTTGATGAATACAAAACACCAAGACATTTCTGGGCTGAAGCGGTTGAGGCAGCTTGTCATGAAACAAATCGACTATATCCTCACAAGCTTCTTGGGAAGACGACATACGAGCTTCTCACCGGTAACAAACCCCAAGTTGGTTAGTTTCAAGTATTTGGCTAAAAATGTTACATTCTTGATAAGCATCATCGTTCGAAATTTGCCCCTAAATCTCCTGAAGGTTTTCTACTTGGTTACGGCTCAAACTCTCACGCTTACCATGTCTACTACAATTTCACTCGAAAGGTTGAAGAGACGGTAGATGTGAAGTTTGATGAATCTAACGGCTCGCAAGTAGAGCAATTGTCGATTGATGTAGGAGATAAAGATCCCTCGGAAGCAATTCCAGATTTGTCTATTGGAAAGATTCACCCAACGGAGGTGAAGGAGAGTACCTCGTCCGTTCAAGTGGAAGCCTCAACTTCACACCAAGGTGAACCACAAATTGACTTGGAGGCATCCACAAGTGGAACACAGCAAGATGAAGGAAACGAGGATGTACAACAAGATGAAACTCATCGACCTCCTTCTCCACCTCCACAAGAGAACAACAACGCCAATGACAATGAAGAAAGACAAGAGGAAGAACAAGACAATGAAGAGGATGTTCCACACCGACCCAAACAAAAGCTCTCACGAGTTCGAGCAAGAGTCTCAAGAGATCATCCCATCGAACAAATTGATACGTCCATTTTGAATCATGTTTTCATACTGTTATTTATGTTGTTTTATTGTATAATAATGCTTTTTTGAGTAATTCTAATGCCCTTTCTCTCATAATATGCAAGGTATGCACAAAGGGGGAGAATTCTGGCAGCTGGAAATCTGGACCTGAAAAAGCTACGTCAAGATACCTAT